GACATGTATTTATGTTTCTATACTTTTACATAGATAACTAAATTTAATACATGTATGCAATTAAAACGTCAGTTCAACAAATTTTATCCACAAAGAAATTAGCTTGAAAGTTTGTTGCTCAAGACTGGTTTGATACATTTTTCCTGGAAGAAGAAGTTAATTTCTATATAAAAATAGTACAGGAAATAAACATATATGACAAAACCCAATTAACCCGAAGGCAGGTGCACTCTGGTGCCAGCAGGGGACAAGCTGTTTCTCCTTCCAGGAGCAGCTTCCAGAGGAGCGCACATTGGTAGAGGCCTAGATCCCATAAAGAAATACTTTCTTTCTAGAATCATTCAGTAAAAAGCACCTCTCCTTTCACTGTTCACCAATGTCTCAACAAGAGTAATGCATCAAGTAATGATGAATACTTTGGGGAGATGTTTTATTTGCTAAGTGGCTTTCCTTTCTTCCATCCACTCTAAGATTATAATGGAACCTGAAATCACTACATACTTCACACCAGTTTCTTACCCTGATCTCAGAATAGCACAATCAAATGACTGAAATTACACAGCGCCGGAAGCCTGCAGCATAAGGGGTCTGTCACTGTGCCCTGAGCACCCTATTTGTACTCACGATTGCACCGTGACGGTAACACTAGGCCACGACAGTGTGCTCTCATCTAAAAAGATGGTTGAGCATGAGCTGTGCTTTTCACAAAGGAAACCTGGAGACACCTGAAGGGGAAGGGAAATGGATGAAAATATCACAGTACGTTAAACTTATAAAATGTTTTTCCTTGGATACAACATCAAACAATTAAACATTAACATTTTTCTTATACTGTGTGAACTGCTACAGAGTGATATCCATGTAGTTTCCATGTGCAGCTCTATGGAAATCCCAGCAGATAATCTAACATCCACAGATGTGATTTGAGGAAGGGGTTATAAAATGCTGCCCTTGATCTACTACTTATAAACAAGCGTGGCAAACATTTATAGTAAATTCTCATTATAATAATGTAAAACATTTAGAATAAGATTTCAGTATGGGTTGTTTTTTTTTCCTTACGAAATAAGAAGCTGAGATATCTATTTCTACTATTTATTTCTACATTAAAACATAATTACTTACATAGTATTAAAACAAGAGCATTTTATTGAAGTAAATGAAAGCCAATAATAAATATTAGTTCAGAAAACTGCAACAAAGGTACTTGAGTCAGAGGTGTGTGTGTGCTGGGCCTGGCCTGTGGCTTACAAACTAGGGTGTCAGAGGTCTCTCTGGGCCTCTGTTTCTTTATCTGAAAGATAAAAGAGTATTGTTTTGAGATTCTCTCATATCCAAAAACCAGATAAAACAACTCTGAGAATGTAACTCTCCCTCATGTTTGACTAATACTATCATTAGATTACTCCAATGGGAACCTCAGAGAACACTTTCCATTTTGTTATTACTTCTGTCCTCTAAGCTACTTGACACTCATCAGGACCCTGCCTCACTCATGCTGCTCTCTCTGGCTACAAGACCTTTTCTTCCTCCTTTTCCAGCAAGTTTAACCCCCCTTCCCATCGGCCTCCAGGATGCCTCTGCCAACAGCCACACAGCAAAACACAATTGCTCACAGGGTGTCCCCTCATACAAAGTGAGCTTCTCTAGGAAGGAAGGACTCTTACTCCTCCTCTACCTCCAGTGCTGAACACAGAATCTGGGACAAATACAAAGTTCAAAAGTGATTGAAAAAATACTTAAAATAAGTTACAACTGGAAGGTAAATCTTACTGCAGATACATATTAAGATTTATCTGCAGTGGTATCAGAGAGGTGACAGTAAATTTCTGAGACCTTCTAGAGAATAAACTATAGTAAAAACATTGTAGAAGTAGTAATTTTTTATTTTAATTATTCATAAATTTATGTGTGTGTGGGTGTTGAGAAAAAGCAAACTCGTTTTAATAGCAAAGCCAGGAAAAACAGATTTACAACAGAAGTCTGACATACATTGACCAGCACACATTTATATACATATATTCACTGATCTGTAAACAGCCCAACAATACAGCAATAATCAAATAAGAAAATAGCCTAAACTATGTTCGGACAATCCTTTTAAAGTAAAACCAAAAACTAATCCCAGTCAGTGTAAGTAGTTGAATGTACTAGTAGCATTCTTTAATGTCAGAGAATACCAACAATGTTAATATGCTTTGTTTTCTTAGAGGTGAAATGGCACCAAATGTTAGATCTTGGTCCTTGAGTTTGGCTGAAAAATAATTTGGAGCCAAGACATCAAATTATATGGGAAAGTATAGTTAGAAACTCACAGAGGTTAAAGAATAAGCCAGCTGGACTGCATGGGCTCAGAAAACCAGTTACAGAGACAAAAGCAGGGCCCTTTGAGCTCAGGAGAAAGTAAGCAAGAATATACATGCCTGGGGGAAAGGTTCAGGTGATCTTCAGAGTGAGCACACCTGAGAAGAGGGTAGGGCAAGGCACAGGTATGCTAGAGAGAGACAGAAACAGAGAGAGAAAGAGACAGAGACAGTATGTACACTGGGATTTTGTCTTAAGGGTTTTTATCTACAAGCAGAAATTTTAGAGGAGGTCTTAGGTGAGGATCTCAAGAGAATATTCATGAGCTTTCCAGGTATGTCCCTTCAGGAATGTGGTCTCCATTGATTGTTTGGTGCCAGGGCAGGGGGTCTTTAGTAATAGAAGCTGTCTTGATGTCAGCCATGGCTTTGCCCTGCCTAGCCTTGCTTCTTCCCTGGGCCTGGAGCTGAAACACAACTGAGGCCTCTAGTTTGACCAAAACTCTGTTTCTGTGGTCAAAGGACACAAGCCTTTGTTCCTAAGATTATTTGATGCAGGTCAGAACCTCACTGTCCTGAGGGCTTAATGCTAATGTGAGTTGGGAGTGGTGGAGCCAAGGCTTGTGTGGGAGTCAGATGAGGGTATTCTCCAGCCCCATTGTTCCTCCTCTAAGAGGATCCATATGCTCTAGGAGGAAAGGTCAGGGGAGGTCTGAACCACATGACCAGCAATATAAAATGTCAGGGAGTCTAAACTGTGGGATCAGAGATATGCTAGAGGAGGAAAGGTCATCGTGGGGCAAGGTCCTACCTGATGATATTTGGTTTCCCACTTTGCTCGTTGCCAGGCACCCCATGCTTTCCTCCCTGGTGACACACTCGACCCATTGTTTCTACTGTGTTCATGTCTAGCTAACTGCCTATTTTATCAGTTTTGTTGTGTTTTTGTAAACTAATTCAGATGAGCCTTCCTTCCTCACATTAATATAAAGTAGCTTTCATCACCTGTCATACGTTCCTATCAGTGTCCCCCACAAATACACCGAAGATAGTACAGGGGGAAATCTAGTTGATATCTTTTAAAACACAGAGCATTTAAAAATTGCCAGTAGGCAATAATCAAAGATATTTTTATATTATGTAAAATACCACTTTGTCTGTTTCTGATGTTTTACTTCAAAGTCACTTATTCCTCATAAACCAAATTCCCAGATGGCATATTTTTTTAAAAGAATCACTATTTGGAGGAATGAATTCTCTTTCAAGCTAGAAATGTTTAACTATAGTTAAAATTCTGATATGTTCCTTGAGCTATGAAGTGAACATGTAATTTACTTTTGGAATTTGAAACAGGCAAATACAGAATTAAATATATAAATACATTCAAATACTTTTATTGTAAATGGAAAATTATCTTTTAAGATCACTACTCCCAAGGTGTAATATGGCATAAAATACACCACAATAGTCAACTATGACCCCAAATCTATATATGGGAAAGTAAAAAGATTAGAAAGAAAAATACACCAAAATATAGACTAGTTGGTAATCATTTGGGTGATATTTATACCATTTTTCTCTATTAAATTTTTTTTCTATGATGAATGTAAACTGGTTTGTATTTGAAAATATTAGTGCTAAAATATTTAAATTGTTAATAAGTCACTGGCTCACAGCTCTATGGGGGCTCATTTAGCAAATTGACACCTTATACCCTACTGGCTACATCCAACCAGAAAAACAGGGAACATTTTCCCATCACCCCAGGCCCACTCCTAACTATTCCAACTTTTCACTTTTAAGTGTCTGGATCCACTAGAGGGCGACAGAACTAAGCCTCCTATCAAAGCCTGATTATATTGGCTGCCAGAGGTTACTTTGTCTTCATCTTGCTTAAAAATTTAAAATAATTGTGCTTTATGGTTAAGACAGTACTACCGCGGGATTACAACCACAATAAGGTACACTGACAAACACAAAGATAAAAAATGGAAATATTTTTCAAAAAAAAACCCAAAAAACCAAAATGAGCCAAAATACTGTTGACAATTACTGTTCATAGGTATTTTGATTGGCCACTACAATAGACAGGGACAAAAGTCCTACCACATCTTCACTCTTTCAGCAAAATGGCAGAGTAGATGGGCTTTTACAATCTTTGCAAGGGAAGGGGTTACTTAGTAGACCTAAATTTCAATAGCAAAAACAGAAAAATATAACCATACTCAGAAGTCTAATAAGTGACACCCTAAACCTTACTATCAAGTGAAGTAATTGAAATCTTGCCTCCACCATTGTGCCTATGGTCTCATGTTAACCCATTAAAACGTAAAGCTGACGTTTACTTGTTCTTTTCTCACAAGACAAGTTCTGGATATGAAGAATGAATGACTTTTAATTAACTTACAAATTTCTCACACTTTATGCATTAATAAAAACTGCTCCATCGATGTTGCACACAAATGGGACAATATGGCAGAATGCTTGGTTTGAACATAATTCTTAATCCAGGTTTAGTAGAAAAGTGTACTATGCTGACTACGGGCATAACCAACAATATTCTCTGAATTAATATTGTTTTTTAAAATTAAAACTTTAAAGTTTGATTTACACTTTAAATAAAGATTCTAAGTTTGAGTTGGAACCTATAACTTTGAGATTTGTGGACTGACCACAAATCTATTTGCTGTTCCCTTTCCTTCAGAGCTATGTCATTGGAATCAAAAGCATGAAAAAAGCTCTACACCATACAAAGAAAACAGGAGATGATTTTTTATTATTTTCATATATTTTTAATTAATTAATTTATTTTTGTTACAGATGTTTCTCCTTTCCCCCCCACTGATTTTCTCCTCCTCTTCCCTCCCCACCTTGTCCCCAGCTTTGTTTTCCATGTCCACTGTTCATGCACACATACATATAAGTTCTGTGGTGTATCTCTCCCCTACCACCCCCTCTCCTGGGAATTGTCAGTCTGTACTCAATTCTGTGTCTGTGGGACTACCCCATTCCTCACACTGTTATGTTCATTATATTTCACAAATAAGTGAGATCATGTGATATTTGTCTTTCTCTGTTTCACTTGTTTTCTTAGGATAATACTTTACAGGTCCCTTGATGTCGTCTCAAAGGATAAGTGATCTTTCTTTCTTACAGCTGCATAGTACTCCATTGTGTATATGTACCACTGCTTTTTTATCCACTCATCTACTGATGAACATTTGAGCTGTTTTTGATCTTAGCTATTGTAAATAGTGCTGCTACAAACATGGGGGTACATATATTCTTTCTGATTGGTGTTTCAGGCTTCTTAGTGTATATTCCTAGAAGTGGGATCACTGGGTCAAATGGCAGTTCAATTTTTAATTTTTTGAGGTAACACCATATTGTTTGCCATAGTGGCTGCACCAATCTGAAATCCCACCAGCAGTGTACTAGAGTTCCCTTTTCTCCACACCCTCACCAACACTTGTTTGATGGTTTGTTGATGGTGGCCAATCTGAGAGGTGTGAGGCGATACCTCTTTGTTGTTTTAATTTGCATCTCTCTGATGATTAGTGATGTTGAGCATTTCTTCATATGTCTCTTGGCCATTAATATGTCCTACTTGGAAAGGTGTCTATTTAGTTCTTCTGCCCATTTTTTAATTGAGTTCTTTGTCTTCCTTTTGTTGAGTTGTATGAGCACTCTCTATATATTGGAAATTAACCCCGTATCTGATATGTCATTGGCAATTATGAAAAAATATGGAACATTTTATAAATTTGCGTGTCATTCCTGGCAGGGGTCATGCTAATCTTCTTTGTATTGTTCCAATTTTAGTATCTGTGCTGCCGAAGTGAGCACCAGCAGATGATTTTCAATGTTTGAGAGCTGAGCACTACATGAAGGAGTGGTCACTGATTTGGCAGAACAGAGGAGAGGAAGCACTACCTTGGTGCCTGAAGAGAGTGTCTGGGTCAGGAATAAGAAACCAGTCTGTTGTACAGAACCAAGGCAGGCTCAGAATTCAGCGCCGTATTTCTGCAGAGAAGCCCTGTCCGTTAACAAAAGTTCTGCTCACTCCTAGTTCTTCAAATTAGATATCAAAAGATAGGAACACCTTGGCGGGTTTGGTTCAGTGGTTAGAGTGTTGGCCCACAGACAAGAGAGACTCGAGTTTGGTTCCCACTAGGGGCACATACCTCAGTTGTGGTTTGTCCCCAGCCCTGGTAGGGGTCGTGTGGGTGGCAACCACTCGATGTGTCTCTCTCACATCAATGTTTTTCTCTTTCACTGTATCCCTCTCTCCCTCCCACTCTGTCTGAAGTTAAATGCAAGAATGTCCTCAGGTGAAGATAAAACAAAATAGACAGTCAGGGACCCCCACACCTCAGAGAGAAGCCAGTAAGTAAAAGAGATGAAACCAGAATGGCTACTATCAACAAGACAGGTAATAAGTGTTGGAGAGGCTGTGGAGAAAAAGAAACCGTCATTCCCTGCGGGTAGAAATGCAAACTGGTACTATAAAAAACAGTATGAATTTTCCTAAAAAAAAATTTAGAATAAGTTACCATATGACCCAGCAATCCCTCTTCTGAATATCTACCTGAAAACATTTATTTGCAAAAATATATGCACACCTATGTTCACTGCAGCATGATTCATAGTTCCAAGGCATAGAAACAATCAAAATGTCCTTTAATACATGTTTAGATGAAGATGTGGTACAGCCCTGGCTGGTTTGGCTCAGGGGTTAGAGCATCGGCCTGCAAACTGAAGGGTTGCAAGTTGATTCCAGGTCAAGGGCATATACCTGGATACCAGGCTCGATCCGCAGCTTCAGTTGAAGTTGAGCAGGAAGCAACCAATCAATGTGTCTCTCTCGCATCAAGGTTTCCCTCTCTTCTTCCCTTCCTTCCTTCCATTTTATCTAAAAGTCAATAGGAAAATATCTTCACATAAAGATTAACAACAGAAAAAAGAAAATATGGTACATATATACAATGAAATACTACTCTGCAATAAGAAAATATGAAGTACTTCCACTTGTGAAAACATGGGTATTATTATGCTAAGCAAAACGATTCAGTCAGAAAAAGGTACAAATCATATGACTTCACTCATATGGGGGATATAAAACTAAAACTCATAGACACAGACAAGAGTATGGTGATTACAAGAGGGAGAGAGTTGGGGGGTTGTAAAGGTTAAAGGGGCCAAATACATGGTGAGGGAAGATGATTAGACTGGGTGGTGGGCACAGAATGCAATATACCAATCATGTATCTTAGAAATGTACACTTGAAACATATATGATCTTATTAATCAGTGTCACCCCAATAAAATTAATTTTTAGAAAGTAAAAATCTGAACTCATAAAAAAAGAGTTCAAAACATTTTCTATAATCTACCTTCTAAGAACATCACATTATTCCACTTTATGGATTTTTAGAAAAAGAGGAAGTGAGAGGGGGAGAGAGATAGTAACATCAATGAGAGAGAACATGGATTGGCTGCCTCCTGCATGCCCCCCACTGGGGATCAGGCTGACAACCTGGGCATGTGCCCTGACCAGGAATAGAACTGGCAAACTCTTGAAGCATGGGTCAATGCTCAACACACCAGCTTGACCATCACATCTTTTTTTTAGTGATTACTTTAATAGAGCAACTTAGAATCTATGGTAACAGCAAACGAGTTGTCCTATGTAGACTAAAACTATGCATAAAAAGAAAATAAAATTAATTGGAGTGATAAAATTCAGGGGCAAAGAAAAACTCTAAAAAAATAAGTCTTAACCTTAGAAAGACAAAAAATTACACTGGTAAAAGAATAAAATACTATTTAAAAAAAGAGAAAATGACAGGGCATAAGAGAACACTATAAATTAAAAATAAGATAAACAATTCAAAGAACTGTAGAAGGGTTAGTACGTAAAGTCAAGAAAATTTTCAGGTAGTAGAAAAATACAAAAAGAAAAACAAGATGGGAAATGCTAGCGATTCATGCAGGAATACTGGTCTAAAAGTTCCAAATACTGAGAACTGGAAATACTAGGGGAAAAAAAAAAAAAATATATATATAAATATATAATAAATAAAAAAAATATATATAATAAATATATATATGTGCAGGCAATCCAAGATCTCTCTCATTGATGTTATTATCTCTCTCTCCCTCTCACTTCCTCTTTTTCTAATAATCAATAAAGTGGAATATATACATATTAAAAAAAAAGTTCCCCTAAAGTAGATAAGATCAGCAGTCTTAATGGCCACAATAAACTCAAAAGCTCATGTTAAATCATAGTATACAATTTCAGAATCCAGGGAATAGAGAAGTTTCTTCAAGTTTCCAGAGAAGAAGGGGACGGGGGAATAACTAGAACTGGTAATGTACAATGTATCATACACTGTCAACAGATTTAAGAGCAACACTGGAATGGGGACACAGCAGAAATGTCTTTAGAACTGCAAAAATTAATTTCAACCTAGGATTCCATACTTTATTAACTAGGAGGCATTTCAGAGGCTCGATCGCTAAAAAAATGTCTGCCCAGGGTCCTTTGCCAGGAAAAAGAGCTCCAGGAACAAGGGGCACATGACAAGACAGAAGAAAACATACAGCCTGGGACAGAGCCTTTCCACCAGCGTCCCGTGCGGCACACTGGAGAATTATCAAAACCTGCCATACCGGACTATTTAGACAGCGGCACTGACCTCTTTTCCATTAGAGCATCAAATAAAATTATATAACAACACACAACACAACAAGTATTCAGTGCATATTAAACAAAATTATACCTTCTTTTTGTCAGATCAGCAAAAAATATATATTTTTGGTGTGTTGCAGAATATTAGTACTTTATGTGTGCCATGACATGAAACAGGTTGAAAATCATTGATCTAAAACAAGGGAGAACCTACACAAGACAGCAGTTATGTGACATCCAAATGACTTTACAGAAATACGCCAAAACACAGGAGCAGGGCAGGCCTAGGGAACCCACTGCGATAGAATAGGGTAACACAGGCTGGGGAGATGTTTCTAATGGGAAATGGAAAAATGTGTTTAGTAAATGAAAAATAATTTGGACATGTCTGTGACAAATGTTATAGTATTTTGGGAAAAAATAGCTGTTAGAAAATAGGAAGTAAGCCCTGTCTGGTTTGGCTCAACGTTTGGAGCGTCAGACCATAGACTGAAGTGTTACGGGTTTCAATTCCGGTCAAAGTCAACCTACCACGGTTGCGGTCCATCTCAAGCCCTGGTAGGATTGTGCGGGAGGCAGTCAATTGATGTGTCTCTCTCACATCAATGTTTCTCTCTCTCTCTTTCCTCCCCTTTTCTACTCTATCTAAAAATAAATGAAAATAATGTCCTTGGGTGAGGACTAAAGGAAAGAAAACAGGGAGTGAATATAGTTAAAAAATGAAGACTTACTAGGTATTATGTTTTGTGTGTGTGTGTTTTATCTTCACCCAAGAACATTTTTGCATTTACTCTTCAGATAAAGTTGGAGAAAGAGAGAGGGAGAGGGAGAGAGAAACATCAACATGAATCGACTGGTTGGCACCCACACAACCTCAACTGAGGCTGGGGACAAACTGCAATCGAGGTATCTGCCCTTAGCAGTAACCGAACCTGGGTCTCTCTGGACCGTGGGCCAATGCGTTAACTGCTGAACAAAATCACCCAGGGTGGTATTATGTTAATGTAGCATAAATGTACTATTTCTGTCTGACAGTTGTTTCTCTGCCAAATTACTGATAGTTGGGTACAAAAAATTATTTTGAAGCAGGGAGACCAACCTACTCTCTGCACTGGGTTCTGAGGTCGTGTTGACCAGGGAGAAGGGTGTGGAGGGTCCTGGGGAAGAGGAGAAGAGCTCAGATTTCAGTCATGTTAGAGAAGGAGAATGAAGAGTGGACAGGAGAGAGGCTCAGCCAGAGAACACTACGGCTCAGCAGTAGATCTACTTACACAGCCACAACCATGTGAACAGGGTTCTGATTCAATAATAAACACATCACCCCTTGAGGGAGAGGATGGAAATAAGGGCACATGGAGAGAACGCTGAGCTCTCAGCTGCTAGGACAGTAAGTCCACAGACAGTGCTAACAACTGACTGAGCTCGGCCACTGCGGTGCACTTTGTCAGACAGCAAGAATAACAAATAAGGCAGGAAATTAAGGCAGATCTCTAAACTATGACCATGTTATTGAAATTTAACCTAAAGGACAGAACCTATTAAAAACTGGGCATTAATAAGCCAAAATCTTTCCTGAAAATGTAAATTTGATCATTATAATAAAAGAAGAGATTTCAAAACTACCAAAACAGGTCCAAGCTAATGATATCAGGTCCATTATATATTTTTTAAAATCATGGCAGACAATTTTTTATTCAAGTTATTAATTTCTTACTTAACTTTTCAACTGTTTACTTACATGGTCTGAAGAGTTGTTCTTACACTTTCCTCTCACTAAGAATAAAAAAAAATAACCCATCAATTCTCATACAAACATATAGAAAAGCAATTGTTACTGATTACCAACATACAAAATAAAACACAATTTCATTCTGTTTCTTTTATAATTTCCAACAAAATTTATAATTAAAATCACCTGGCAAGATAAGTCCCATTAAAGTAACATCTTAAAACTAAGTTTTATTTTTTTGATCCAGCAGATGCTCTCTATCAGGTACACATGAAAGTCTCTCCACTTACAGACGAAAAGGGCAAAGCAAATCGAGCCAGGTGAGAAACACAGCTAATACAGAGTTTACCTGCTGCACATCTGAACCATTACTCAGTTGTAGTTTCTGATTCTACATTTACACCCACTGCACCTGAATCACCAGGATTAATAGTTGGCAGATCTAAAAGCCAGTGTCTGGCCAGGGATCTGGAAATATCCTGAACTCCTTCCTGATAATCAACTAGAATAACTTACTGAAAAAAATAAATGGGTCTTTACTCAATTGCAAAGTCACCTAATTTAAATTTAAAATGAGTGTGGCTAACCTAATTAAACATATGTGTAACACTAAATCATTTGCTCTAACAGAGATCAGAAAAAAACACAGAAGCTCCAAAGAGGGTCTTGGGCTGTCCTGTTTCCCACACAGCCTCCTTCAATGAGGTCGGCATCACGGGCACACACTCCTTAGGACTGAAGAGAGGTCATGGGAGAGCGTCTCCTGTCCTGGCTCCACTGTCTCTACATGTGAGCAGCCCATGGCTCTGAGAGAAACTGAGAGATACTGCAATCCTGACCAAAAATGATCAGCTTCAGACAGCCAAACGCACACATACCATGAAAACACATGTTAACACTCCTATTTTAATTGTGCTGCGTTACTTCAATAATAATGGAACCTTCCCTTTGGTACTTCTGCTGTCATAGCAACAAAATCTTGACCACGTGTGCCTTGTTAAGCAAGTAAACTCCATGTACCATAACATGAAGGAAACTAAGCAGGCAAGCACACTGTAAAAACCTACACTTCTGGGGGTTTGTGCCGGCAGCGGATCGTGCCGAAAAGGGCTTAGGCCGAGGGCGGCCAGCCTTCCCACTCGCGGAGTCTTGGTCTCCGTGCACCGCCGCGGCCCATGGGGAGAGTCGGCCTGGCGGGCCGGATGGCGGCGTAGGTAAACGCGGTATCGTCCTCCCACAACCACATCAAAGTTACAACTAAACTACAGAACAACCATCATTCAAAACCACCTGAAATCAAGCTGAATGGAAGTCCTACAACTACGGAATTAATAAAAAAAAGCAGCTACATCCAGACTGGTAGGAGGGGCGGTGGCGCGAAGGGTGGCTGTGCGGCAGCAGCGCAGCTGCGAGACGGGCTGGTCCCACACCCAAGCGTGGTGGATAAAAATCAGGAGGTGGGAAGGCCCTTCCTGAGGACTGAGGGGTCCCCGTCCCACACCAGGTGCCCCGCTCAGGGTTCCAGTGCCAGGAAGAGAATCCCCATAACTTCTGGCTGGAAAAACCAGCGGAAACTGAGGCTCGGGGAAGCTGAGGTGGCTGGAACCCCAGGCAGCTTCTTAAAGGGCCCGCGCACGGACTGGTCGGACTCTCTCCCTCTAAGCTTGGAGGGGAGGCAGCTCCAGGGGCACCAGAGACACACAGGGAAGAACTGAGCTGTTTGGCACTGGAGCGAGGGCTAGAGAGGGGGCTTCCTCGGGGACGAACGTGCTGTAAGAGGCCTTTGTTCCTTTGGTGAGCCCTTCCGGGGGGCAGCAGACAGAAGCCATATCTGGGACTCCAGCAACCTGGCTCACACTGGTAGCCCCGCCCTGCTGACTCCCTGAGGCCCCGCCCCGCCCCACCCAACTTTCAGGCCCACCCAAGCTGTTGCCACTTGCTTAACCATAGGATTGGCCTGTCTTGGATCCTGCTTCAGGTTTTTCCTAAATTCTTTCAAACGAGCAGCATCAGGTCTCAGCGAGCCCCATACCTCTCATTAAGTAATACACAGAAACAAACACAGGGAGGCAGCCAAAATGAGGATATGAAGAAACAGGTCCCAAATGAAAGAACAGAACAAAACCCCAATAAAAGAACTAAGCAAAAGGGAGATAAGCAACCTAACAGATGCTGAGTTCAAAATACTGCTTATAAGGATGCTCAATGAACTTAGTGAGAACCTCAGTGAACTTAGGGAGGGCCTCAAGAGCATAAAAAAGGACCAGTTAGAAATCATGGATACACAGAATTAAAGTAGGCATTAATGGAAATAAAGAATAATTTACACAGCTTCAATAATAGAGTATGTAAATCCAGGAGCAAACCATCGATTTGGAATATAAGGAAGCAAAAAATCCCCAATCAGAACAGCAAAAAGAAAAAAGGATCCAAAAAACTGAGGATAGTGTAAGGAGCCTCTGGGACAACTTCAAGCGTGCCAACATTCGCATCTTGGGGGTGCCCGAAGGAGAAGAGAGAGAACAAGAAATCGAAAACCTGTTTGAAACAATAATGGCAGAAAACTTTCCTAACTTGGTGAAGGAAACAGACATACAAGTCCAGGAAGCACAGAGAGTCCCAAACAAGAGGAACCCCAAGAGGCCCAAACCAAGACACATCCTCATCAAAATGCAAAAGGTTCAAGACAAAGAGAGAATCTTAAAAGCAGCAAGAGAAAGGCAGCTAGTTACCTACAAGGGAGTTCCCATTAGGCTGTCAGCTGATTTTTCAAAAGAAACTTTGCAGGGCAGAAGGGAGTGGCAAGAAATATTCAGAGTGATGAAAACCAAGAACCTACATCCAAAATTACTCTATCCTGCAAAGCTGTCATTTAGAATCGATGGACATATAAAAACTTTCCCAGACAAGAAAAAGTTAAAGGAGTTCATCACTACCAAACCGTTATTATATGAAATGATGAAGGGTCTTTTTGAAGAAAAAGATAAAATGTATGAACAAACAAAATGGCAATAAATACATATCTATCAACAATGGAATCTACAAACAAAATGAACAGGAAGAACAGAAACATTCTCATAGATACAGAGAACATTTTGTTGGTTGCCAGTTGGGAAGGGGGTTGGGGGAATGGGTGAAAAAGGTGAAGGGATTAAGAAGCACAAATTCATTGCTAGACTGACAAACCTCAAAGGGAAAGGGGTTGGGGGGGTGGGAAGAAATAAACCAAAGAACTTATATGCATAACCAATGTACAAAGACAATAGTGTGGGAAAAGGTGGGAGGGGGGCGGGAGTGGGGAGGAGGGGGTCAATGGGGGAAAAATGTGGAACATCTGTAATACATTTTACATCCAACAATAAAGATTTGAAAAAAAACAAAAAAAAAAAAACCTACACTTCTGAACCTTGTCCTAGAACAAACAGGACCCAAGAAGTGGACACGACTGTCTCATGCTGAGCGAAGCTTCTGGGAACCCCGAAGGCTCTGTGGCTCTCATGCACCCCGGCAGCATTAGGTTAGGGTAAGAGAGTCTTCAACAGCTTCAAAGTTCTGGATGTGAGATCACATCATTTGGTTGAGCACAATGTAACATAAAGCCAAAATCACAACTTCATCCTCATATATAACAACTGATTATTTTGATTTGTTCAAATAAAAACCTAACTGTGACCTAAATCCTATCTTGACTTACCATCCATTTGAAATTTCTTTAGGAAAAGGGTGCTAGCCCTTGGATGGTCTGAAGGGATTAGTTCTAAATCCAATTCTGTATAGGAAGAAGAGAAAACACATAATGATTTAGTTGAATAGAAAAATATATATATTTAAAAATAGCTACATATCAATTTTAATCACATAACAGTGGTGGGAGCCAGTTTTAGTAATGGTAACAAGCCAATTTTAGTAAAGGCAGCAATGTAAAAAATTCTACTGAAAAAATTCAAAATTGTAGAATCTCTCTATACATGTGGAATAAAACCAGGCTACATCTTAGACTTTTTTAAAACTTGCACCTAAATAAATCTATGAATCATATATGTGCTTTCCCCCATCTACTTATCAACTAAAAATACAGTCGCTACTTTTATGCTGATATTACTAGCTCATTCCAGAAACAGTCTCCAGAAGCAAGTTACACTGTGGCCAATTAGTGTCAAATACCAGCTAATATATCAAATATGCCCAAATCAAGTGAGTTGTTTTTTGGCAAAAGTTTTTTACTTTACACATTTAGGCTAATTCTAACTCCATTCAAAGAATGAACTTACTTAGTTCTGGTTACTTGGGGCTATTCATCCCCGCAGATTTAAAAGGATAGCATGAAAGCTCAATGCTCTAATCTACAGAAATACTTCCATGATCAATACTTTTAATACTTTCATCAAAGTGATTTTGAAATTCTGCTCTCAACTGCCTTGTTCTTTAAGAAAACCCCTTCACTAAATTTCAAGAAGAGTTGCTTTTTGAGAAATTATTCTATTTAATATATTAATGTAAAAAATCCCATACAATTATTTTAAAGTTTTTTTCATATATTAAAAAATGAAACAATATTAGTTATTTGGAAAAATGAATTAATTCAGTTGTGCTCAAAGTAAGAATCAAACTATCACAGCAGCCGCTAACCTCAGGCTTCGTAAAGAATTCAAGACTACCTCCTACCACAAACAAAGCAAATATATTGCATGTGAATAAAAACAATAAGAACAAAGGCTTTCAGAAATAGCCATATTATATATGAATGCCTAGGGCATAATAAAGTTTGATTAAAAATTTCAGTGAGAAGCCCAGGAAAAGTATGTACTTGAATCAAAGAAGCAGCAGGGTTACACACACACACACACACACACACACACACACACACGCCCCAAACCAAGATGTGCTACTAAAATCAAGAAGGCTGGAATAAATAGAAAGGACAAAAAAAGCCCCAAAATTAGTTCATATAACCAACAACCCCTGCCCTCCCGACCTACACCTGGATTCTAGGGCAGACAGTGCCCCAGGGCTGGCCATCAATCACAGCTGGCCTGGGTTCCCCCAAGAACCAGAAGGGAACAGCAGAGCTGACTCTAGGACCCTTGGAGAGTCTGCACTGTGGACTCTCCCTCTGCAGCAGGAGGAGAAGCCGTCCCAGGAGAGAGAACAGGAGAGCAGAACTGAGACAGGTTCTGAGACCATCACTGGACTCCTGAACCCAGGGGGACTTAGACTTTTACTCTGTGAACTCTGGTTATGCAAGTCAACACTGTCCTTTAAAAGATTTTAAGCTATTTTGAGATAGATTTCTTTTAACTTGCAGCATAGTTGCTGTTTAATGGATAATCACCTATCAAGTGTTATTTCTATGCTTTACATAGACAAATTCCTATTGAGGTTAAAGGGCTTACAAAGTTCTACTCTTATAATACTGTTAATATTGTTCATGTATATAACTTTTCTTTTTTTTTAACAATTTAAAAATCCATGCAGTCAATGTGGCTCAATGCTTGAGTGTCAACCCATGCACCAAGAGGTTGTTGGTTCAATTCCCGGTCAGGGCACATGCCCAGTTTGTGGGCCTGATCCCCAGTGGGGGGCATGCAGCAGGCGGCCAATCGATGTTCTCTCTCATCAATGTGTCCAGCTCTCTCCCTCTCCCTTTCTCTCTCTCTAAAAGATTAAAAAGAAAATCCTCAGAAAAGTTCTTTACAATGAAATGACTAAACCAAAAGTTTAGATTGTTTTCATGGCTCAATATATAAAAGTTGCTTTCTAAAACAGATGAGGGCATATCAGTGTATAATGCTACCAAGCATAACAGTTTAGCTTGCACCCCAGCTTTGAATAATTAAAAAAACACCTAGTTATGTGAATGAGGAACTACACAGTGTCTCTAATGTTCATTTCTTTGATTGTATAGTTGGACCACAGTTAACAGAATTATTTAGACTTTGGTGAATTGACCATCATTTGCATGTACTCTATGATCTATACTCACTAGGGCCCTAATGTTATCAACTTACAAGAGGCTTTCATAATATATTTCCTGTTTATAGCCTATAGCAATTTTATATATAACTTACACTGTTTGCTAATGAGAAATACAGCATCACTATTTATAGAATGGTTTAGGCAGCATTTTTCAGAAAGATATTGATTTCAATTTATTCCAATTAAATAGAAATGCCAGTTGTTTCTGGGCCACCTGCTGGGCACCCATTTACTTGAGGTCTCCTCCATTTCCTGAACTGTCCACCCCAGTCAGGCGACTCCTACCGGATGGCCTTGAGCTGGAAGCCACCCTAAAAGCACACAGGAGGCTCCTGTGTCTCTCAGTCTTCTGCTCCTGGAGCCTGGCTTCCAATTTCCTGACCTTTGATAATCCTCACTCTGGCTACCAACCACTTCTGTAGCTCCCTCACCTTGGATCTCAGTATGGCCGTGATTGAATCCTCAACCCATTTGAATGAATCACTGAGCTGTGACATTTTATACAGTGAAGTAAGCCTTTCTTCCTTTATGTATTTTTGAAAAGTACTTTGCTCAGCGTCTTGGACATTTAAGAACATTTCTGACCCTGGCCAGTTTGGCTCCATGGTTAGAGCATTGGCCTGCGTTCCAGAGAGACCTAGGTTCGGTTCCCATTAAGGGCAAGTACCTCAGTTGCAATTTGTCCCCAGCCCTGCTTGGGTCATGCGGGAGGCAGCCACTCAATGTGTCTCTTTCATGTTGATGCTTCTCTCTCTTTGTCTCTTCCTCTCTGTCTCCCTCCCACTCTATCTGAACAAAAAATGGAAAATTTCCTCAAGTGAGGATAAAAAACACCAACAACAACAAACATTTCTGAATAGCAACTTACCTCAATTTCATCTCACATTATATAATGTTACTGTTTTAACCTTAAAGTTTAACTACTTTAATGCACTAAAACAAGGGATATGTAGAAAGGTAGTGTCCCCAAAGCTGATCACATGATGTGTCATTCTATAAATGCTCTTTGTATGTGCCATGCATCTGGAGTTGACATTCCTGCTCTATCCAGCCTGATGTTTCAAACCTTGAACAGCTTAGTTTATGCCACTCAAAGCTGGTCTTCACACAGGAAAAACAGATATAATTCCTACATTACCAAACGCAAAACATTGTAAGGATCAAATGAAATGAAGAACACTTTATATACTACATATGAAATACAAAAAAAGTGACAAAGGATTCACAAATCAACTCAAAAGCACAATATGAACATTTAGCATTTCATTGGAAAGTATGAAATGTCCACTCATTAACCATTACCCAAACATCATCTTAAGTAAACATGTGCTCTGGCTGCCCCTTCAAGGAAAGGAATAAAGGTCACACTATTAGCAAGAATTTCTCTCAGCATTCTGTTTTATTTTGTTTTTAAATAAGCAAAACATATTACTGGATTTCCTCTCCTTATGTTCTTGATGTAACTTATCCTGGAGATCACCACATAGCTGGAAAGAGAGATTTTATTCATTTTTGTTGTTGTTACTCCTCACCAGAGGATATTTTTTCCATTGATTTTTAGAGAGAGAATGGAAGGGAGAGAAGGAAAGAGGGAGAGAGAGAGAGAATCATTGATGTGAGAGAGATACACCAATTGGTTGTCTCCTTCCCAAGCCTTGAAAGGGGTTGGGAATCAAATGTGCAACCCAGGTACTTTCCCACAACCCTTTGGTCCACAGGCTGACACTCTAACCACTGGACAAAAACAAACAGGGCAATTTTTTTTTATAGCTCTATATCACTCTACTGTGTGGACATACCAGTTTATTTTACCAGTTCCTTACTGGACCTAAGTTATTACCTATATATGTTATTTCATATATATATATAAATGATGCAACAAAAACTTTGTAAATATGTGGCTTCCTATTTGAGTATGTTTTCAGAATAAATCCTCAGAGTAGAATTCCTGATCAATGCATCTGCGCTGTGGGGTGAGGACACCAGCGTCCCTTCCTGGGCAGAGCCGTTCTGCACGTCTGTCAGCCACACAGACAGTACTGTTCCCTCGCAGCCCTTCCAAACCCTGAGTGTCAAGGTTCTGGATCTCTCAATAGAGGATAAACTATAGTATAGTTTTATTTCTATTTCTCTTGTGTGTAAAGACATGTTTAGAGATAATCTGCACTTATTTTTCTGTGACTTGTCATTTGTATCTTCACTACTACATTTAGATTTACTTAATGTATTGGTCAGCCTGTTTTAGGCCCTTGTTTTTTGTTTTTCTTCTTCATTAAGCCCCCGTTGCCTCTCACTTAAATTGCTGTGCCAGCCTCTTCTACCCCCCTCCCTGCTCCCTCCATTCTTACACAGTAGCTTCTCTCTCTCTCTCTCTCTCTCTCTCTCTCTCTCTCTCTCTCTCTCTTTCTGTCTCTCATTAGCATTATTTTTCTACATATGATCCTCCAGTGGTTTTCCATCACAACTAAAGTGAAATTCACAGTTTTGCCCCCTTGGCACACAGGTCTAATGCCCCATATTCGTGCTCCTGGTGTCCCTCCAGTCTGCAGCTGCCCCGTGTTTGCTGTGAGTGGCCTGCACGCTGTGTTCCCACCTGAGGAACCTGCATGGAAGCCTCTCCCCCCACGGGTTCACAGGGCTCCCTCCCATTTCCAGAACTGCTCCATGTCACTTATGGAGAGCAGCTGTCCTTAACCCCCCTGGCTTTCTTGATTGTTCATGTGTGTCTGCCCCTAGGATCTTCTAGAATGTCAATGCCTAAGTTAGGCTGGGGCTGTGCTTGAATATCACTGTTTGT